ATTATCATTAATAATTAATAAACAAAAAATGAAAAATATTTTTTTTCTTTTAGGATTTAAGCATTTTATTAAAAGGTTTTTGTCGATTATTAAATAATCCACTTATACAAACTTATTTACCTGGTTCTTGTAAAAAAATTGGATTTTATCAAGAATTATTAATTTTATTTTGGAAATTTTGTGATCGAAATAAGGTTCGATTTTATATCGATAAATACATAAAATAAATCTTTTTTTTTGTTTTTCTAATCTTATCAATTGAATAGAAATTTTTATATTATGTTTTAAAATCTGGTGAAATACTTGATATAATTGTACCAATACTTTATTTTCTCAATGATGCTCGTTCGGATACATGTAAGTGAATCTATCATCAATCATATTATTATTCTTCAACAATAAAGAAACAAAAAAATCAAAATCAAAATCAATTTTTTTATTTAGCTAAAATTGGTTTAATGCATATTGGTATATTTATTTTACTTTTACTTAGTGGTGAAAGAAATTTTGGTGTACGATTAAATAAACCTTATATCACACGAATACCAATGAATATACCAATATTTACTGGAACTCATGCCGATCTATTGATTATTGTATGAAGAAAAGGAAATATTTATTGTAAAGAACAAATAAACAAAAATTTATTTTAGGTTTTTCATAAAATAATTGTTTCAGCACATCAACGTTTACAACCATTATATGATTGTTTATTAACAATTATTGTTAATATTTCACCATATCTTAAAAGTTTATCAATGGTATCAAGTAATAAATTAATTCATTTACTTGAAGTAAAGAAATTATTTATATTAATTATAAATAATAAATATTTTAATTTTTATATACATAGGCATTTAGTACTCCATGGTTTCTTTTTGCTGCATCGGATAACCATAATCTTGTTTTTTTTCTTCTTGAAGCATTTAATAATCTTATTCAATATCAATTTGATGGTACGAAAAAAATTATTTTGTTTTACTTAAAAAGAAATTAAATGATCTTTTTTTATTATTTTTAGGCAATGCTAATCTTATTTATTCAATAATTCGTAAACGACAAATCTTTTTTACTTTAAGTAATTTACCTAGTGATACACAAACAATATCGAAATTTGGTATAAAATCTATTAATTCAACTTCATCATCATTAAAAAACTCAAGTCCAAATAAATCAGAAAGAAAACAAACAATTTTTCGAACAAATTCAAAATCAAATACAGATGATGAATCAATAATAAATAGAGAAATTTCACAACAATCAACAATAGAAACAATAAATGATCCAATGATAACAACTTTAGCAGAAACACCATGTAAGAAT